TGATTTTAAGTGATGTAAGTAAATATGGCAGATTTTCCTGTTTACAACTTGGGAGAAAATAATGACATCAGTATTTTATCTTTTATTGTATGTTTTTGAACTTAAATTTTACTATTTGTTTTTAAACTTAAGATTTAGAAATTCACAGAGTATTTGTAAATAACTTAATTTATTTATTTATTTAGGTACCAGGAATCAAACTCAGGACCCTGCACTTGCCAGGCAGGTGCTTATGCCACTGAGCTATATCCCACCCCACATCAGCCTTGCTCTTAACTTTGAGCACAGATTCAGAGAAAAGCTCTCAGCAGTATTCATGCCACTGTCCCAAGAGTAGACTGCATTGAAGTTGTTCGGTCACCCAGGCAATGTCTCTGAATATAAGCAAAATGCAGATGGGCTCCTTGCCAAAGCACAGCATACTCCACCTGGGACCCAGCAGCCCATGCGGTCCTCCTCAATAGCAGCTTCCTCAGCTGCACCTTACCTGACAGCATTACCATCATGCTCTGATTGCCAGTCTTTGACTAGATTATCTCATTTGGTTCACAGCATGTGGGGGTGCCACTTAGGTTAGTCTTTCCAAATTAATTCCCAAGACTCTTAAGCCACATAGCCAGGCAACATCACAGTAGAGCAAAGCAACACTAAGAAATGCCACTTTTGGTAGAAATGTTGTTAGAGTTTACAAGAGAATAGATTTAAGAAGAGTTGTGGTGGTGCACACCTGTAATCCCAGCACTTGGGAAGCTGAGACAGGAGGATCATTAGGAGCTCAAGGCCAGTCTTGGCAAAAAATGTGAGTTCCAGGCCAGCCTGAGCTTCACAGTGAGATCCTGTCTCTCAAGGACAAAAACTAGCAAGAACAATAAAAATGGGGGGCAAAAAACCAACCCAAAATTAAAACAGAACGGATTGAATACAGTACACATAGTTTACAGAATTACTGCCTAACAATCACCCTAAAAGTCAAATACAGAAGAGTGCAGATCTGTCTAGACAGTAAAGACCCAAGAATCCATGCAAGTGTCTGGATCTCATGACAGCATCCCCCATTAGTCCAGCTAGAGGCCTAGAGCCCATGGCAGTATCCTGCATGCACAGGTTGAAATCCTACACCTTATGGCAATGTCCTCCATGCATCTAGCTGGAGGCCTAGAGCACAGGACAATATGTCATGCAAGTCCGTATCAAGGATCTACACTGGAAAGGGCCAAAGGTCAGTGGTAGAAGCTAGAAAATCTGTGCCAGCAAGTCAAAGGCTCTATACCAGCAGGCTAAGGGTTATGTACTTGAGCCAAGAAGTCATGTTCAAGTTAAGGATCAGAGCTCCCTTGATTTCTCATGATGATCATGGGAATATAGAAGACACTCATTACAAATTTGATATTTTATTTTACTGATATCTTATTTCCCTGCTAAGTGCATGTTGTAAAGTATAGTATAGAGCTTCACACAAAACAGGAAGAGAACAGAGGTGACAAGATCTCCACATAGGAAAGGTAAGCTAAGCCTATGTACTGTCGATTTAAGTGAGATGTGCTCCTGAAACATGTGTCATGTGTAGAGATTGTCTTGGGTATGACAATTGAAGAATAGGCATATTTTCATTTTAGAATTCTATTGGTATTTTCATTGTAGTTCATATAGCAATTTATTTCTCATGTTATATTTTATGTTTTGTAAGAAAGTACATAGATGATGTGAAAAATTTTATGCCTATTCTAAATGCACAATACATACTTAGTATTTAATAACTTATTTTATTTATATTTTATGTTTCTGTTACCCACACACTATATAATATAGTAAGAGCTTCCTGACACAAAAACAAGACCACTGAGATGTCTAGTATGTCCCAGAAAAAGGCCTGGGAAGCAAAACACATGTGCTGCCAGTGTAAGTGATTTGTGTACAGTACAATATGTGTGCAGGTATAATTGAAGTAAAGTGCTATTGATGTTTTCATTGTAGTTCATATGCAAATTTATTTGTATTGTTTTTCTTTTAGACTTTGTGCACCAAAAACTGTCAATTTTGAAAATTTTTACTTTTTTATAATTATTGAATGAATATTAACAATTCAATTCTTTATTTTTGTGATTTTTTCCCTGTTAAGTACTCATTGTTTAATACCATGAAACTCATAAAATTAAAACTAATATTTCATCAATAGAAATATTCTAAAGAATAAACATGATCCTGACAGCCCTATGTTTTGTGACTTTATGAGAAAATTAGTGTTATTCTATGTGGGCCACAAAATGATACTGAAGGACTTGAAGCCAGAAAAGGCCTATGGAAAGTTATTTTGTAGTTTTAAGGAACATTAGTGATAAGGGTGAAATGAGGCCAAACTTGCTAGCTGTCAGATGTATCAAGCTCATGGTCTCTGAACATGGAAGAATTAAGTCGAAAACTAAGAAGGTAGTTAGGAGAACTTTATTGGAAACAAGGAGAAGATAAATTGGATTTCCAAGTGGAGTCCCGAGCAGGTTGCCACCGAAGCTTTCTCTCACAGGTGATTTGTACTGCAAAATGACACCATGGTATACTATAGGCCAAACTACAATCGACCTTTAGGATTATAAGACAGATGCTTGGCTAATATTGATCCATTAGGGAAACAAGTCATGTGGCAAGGGTACCTGAAAGAACAAAAACATTTTTGCCAGGTATGGTAGCATATGCCTGTAATCCTAGTGCTCAGGATGGTGAGGCAGGTTGATCCATGTGAGTTCTAGGCCAGACTGGGCTACCTAGTAAGTTTAAGGCCTGCCTAAACTGAGTAGGAAAACCTTGTCTCTAAGAGACAAAACAACAAGAAACCAAATCAAATCAAAACAATCCCCCCCTCCAACAAAATGAACAAAGGAATTTTTGGAAAGGGAGGGGATCATTTGTCTAGAGATGTCTATGTATATCTATGCATCACTTATTTGGATGTCTAATGGCTATCTGGGCCCAATGGAACAGGTAGTGTTAATTACAGTATGATCTCCAAATTGCAGTTTATCTCTAGGGAGGCATGAGTTCTGTTGCTTTTCAAATTGCCTCCCTTCACAACTCTTAATATCTTTTTTGTGCTGACTTTTTCCAATGCCCAGTCCTTCTCTGACTGCATATTAATTTCTAATTTAGATGACTAAAACAGTAGGACCAGATCCTATGTCTTCTGGAATCTTAGTTTAGAACCTTTCAAGTTTTGTACTAATCTCTACTGACTTTTAAAACTGGTGATTTGGCAACTGATTAATCTAATTGATAATTGAAAATTCAAGGTAGTGTTGCAGACAGTCTGAGTTAGATAGAAAATTGCAGGCAGTCAGACAGGGTCAGGCCCTCAAAGGAAATAACAATAGCCAGGCACCTTACAACTGTGGGAAGGATGAAGGCCCCTGCTGTAAATCAAACCTAAAGACTGGCATCCGGGATTGATCATTACTCAGGAAGAATCATTGTCTGAAGGCCTAGCAATAAGGTCCTGTTTTACATTCATGTCCGCTTACTACGTGACTCGCTACCCCATTTGGTCTTGGGCCTAATCAATTTTACCTGCAAATGGTGCTTGTAATCCCATTTGTTGACCATAGATTTGTCCCACCCTGCATCAGCCTAAGCGAGACCCCTTTGTCTCCACCTTAGCCCCGCATGGTTTTGCCCTATAAAGGTAACCTGGAAGAGACAGCTTCCTGGGCAACCCGGGTCCCCCTTCTGTCCCTCTCTGACAGTCAGAAGCTTTCCTTTCCAATGAAGTTTTTCCCTCAACCTCCGTTTGTTCCTAAAATTCATACTTTGGTTTCAGAGAACACGAACTTATCCGGGTCAGGTCGGGAGTTTCACGTCCCTATATCAGTAGTGCAGTTTAAGATTCACACATCCAGGAGGAGGAGGGCTGCTGCTGAGTAAAGAGATAGAGGACAAATCTTTTCATTCATCAAAATGACACAAGGGTTTTTACTTTTTTAAAGAGAATAGAAAATGATAAAGAAAAAAAAAGCAGAAACGATACAACATTTCATTAAACAAAATAATAGGAATTTGACAGTGGTTGTTGTATTGCATAATGTTGTCTTCAAATTAGTTGTTTAGATTATCAGGTATAAGCACGCAAAATTAGTTTAAAAATTATGAGATTAAAAAGAAAAAAATTAAGCATTTACTGTTCCTTTCAGTAGATCTGCAGTACAATTATCCAAGTTATCTTATATATATACATAAATGTATCTTTTTCCCTTCGTTTTTTGAGGCAAGGGTTTTGAAAGGGACTCAATCATAGGGTTTGACTTCTGCTGAGCCCTGGGGCTGAGCCCTGGGGCTGGCACGTGTTAGGCCCAGAGCTTTGATGTCAGCACCACCCTGAGCCAGTCCTCAGGAATTAGCTTTCAGATCTAGGGAGCCTCGCACCTCTGCCATCAAGACTTTGAGGCATCTGCCTAGGTCTCACCCATTCAGATCTCAACGCCAACACTGCAGAAGGAATGAGACCCCGTTTCACCTCTAGTTGGTCCCGTGAGTGTGGTGCAGAGAAGAGACGCGTAGGCATCAGAGTTAGACTTGCCCAGGTACAGCCAGCTGAATCTTGGGTTATTTGGGTCCAACAACCAGAGCCGATCAGGACCGCTAGCCTTGCTCTTGGGTCCCTGCCCGAAGAAGCCCATTTCCTCCGCTCTGGAGGCCGGGGTACCGGTACATGGCCAGCGGCAAACAACCTTCTTTGCTAATCAGCCTCTTCTCTGTATTGGTCGGCTCTTTCAGCTGCTTTGTATTTTCATTTCCCCAGAAGACCGCCCCACCCTGCTTGTCGGTCCCTTCTAGGGAAGACAGATCACGCGGCCAAGAACGAGACTCGCAAACTGGGCAGATCTCTCAGCCTTGAGGTAGCAAGCAGAGTCTAGGCTTGAGAGTGGGCGGGAGCCTTGATGGGCAAGGCTGCGGTCCAATGGATCGGCTCTGCCTCCTTGTGCGGGCCAATAAGGTACGCGGGGCGGGACTTCCGCCTCACCCTGGTGTTGTCTTCCCTGCTCAGGCTCCGGCTATGGGTGTCGGTGCGGATGTTCAGTTATGAACTCAGGCTAGGTTTTCTCCAGTAGCAACAAGGCCGGCGAGCCTGTGTCCCGCGGGCTGGCCCTCCAGGTAAGAGCCTGACAGGCTCCGCGGCGGCTGGGCGGGGGTCGTCCTCGCGGGGCCTGGCCCGGGAACACACCCCCCTCGCAGGCCCGGGAGCCCGGAGTCGGCCCCACAGCAGAGGTCTGTGCTTTCAGTCTCCGGCGTGGGGCGGAGTGAATTAGGGTTTTTGCAAAAGAAACAAAAATGCCTTCCGCCTGGAGAACCGAAACGAGTCTCCCCCGCACCCGCATTCCGGGAAAACTCCAAAGTTAATAGGTTATCCGTGGTGCTTCTCACATTCTCTCTGAGGTGGCAGGAGCTGGAAAGATGTTTGTGAGAGTTCTCTTGGTCCAGCACTTGTTTTAAAGTCCTGGGTTCAAGTCGCTTGACTTCAGTTTTGGGGGTTGTTTTGTCTTTGGGCGTAAAAAAACAAGAGCAGTCACTTCCTTTCTTTCTCACCCCACCCCTGTTTCTTTCTTCAAAGCTCAGATTGCAGGTTGGGACGTGACCCAGTAGGGGCTAGAGAAGAGGTCCCTGCCCTCCTCAAGTCACGAGGCTGATTGGGCTGACCTGGATTGATAGAACTCTGTCCCAGAGAGGGAGTGGGCAGACACCAAGCCAAGTGACTGTATTCCAGAAGCAGTCACGCACTTTGGGGGCAGCCACTGTATGTTCTCTTCCTTCCTTTGGTAAATTCCTCTGTTTTGCCCTAATCGGGCCCTAGTAAATTGCCCACATTAGTTTCATCCTCAGTTTCAGCACCGTGGGCAGCTGCTGCAGTCCTTTTATTTTTGCCCCAAACCTGCGGGACTCTGCCAGTGATGCAGCGGAACTCATAAAAACTAATGCATTCCTTTCAACCATGATGTGTGCTTCTCCAAGCAGAACCTGTGCAGTTTTTGATACGGTATAAATCAGTAAAGTGAGTGTGCCTCCAAGGAGTTTCAGTAGGGAAGCAAATCAATTCAAGATTTAGGGAAGGACGTTCAAGAGTTGAATCTGTTTTAGGGACAGTTTTTAATGGCTCAAGGAGATAGATAATTCCTTGTTAAGGTAGCAAAATTGGATTGTGATAATTAAAAAGGAGTTAAGTGTGCTGTGCCCTAGTGCAGGGTCCATAGGGATTCATAAATGGATTTTGGAATCAACTTAGTACATTGACAAACAGTAAAAAGAAAAGAAGGAAGAAAAACTATCTGAGGATGTCCTATGAAGCAAAGGTAAGTTTCGTTTCCTGAAGCTTTTATTTTAGTTTTTAAAAAATGTGTATCAAGAGGAAGCAATAAAGCCTTATCATGTATCATAGCAAAGACTGTGTTTCAAACTACTGGATCTCAAATTTGAAAGTCTGTAGTTCACCAAGGAGAAGCTGCACTTTTGGATACAATGTAAATAAGTAAAGTGAGTGTGGCACACTTACAGATTCTGTAATCTGAACTAGAAATAAGGAAAAAGTGACGATTAAATGAACTAAAATGTTTGTTTCATAATTAATCCTCAGTGTTTTTTTGTTGTTGGTTTTCAGGTGGTTAGATAGGAGCAGTCATTTCTGTGTAAGGAATGCCAACTTTTGTGTCACTGACATCAGACAATTTCTGTGTAAAGAATGACAACATAAATATAGGTAGTATTTACTTCTTTAAAATCAGAGTGTGTGAGATTGTTATGGGCTAACACTGCAAGGGTGCATATCAGGAAAGTGTATTCCTGTTATAGCCAAGACTGGAATAAAAGACATGGTACAGTGGGAAGAGCAGAGGTTCTTTTGTAAAATGATGATAATGATAATGCCAATTTTGAGAGTTGTTTTGAAAATTATAGTTAATATATGAAAAATGCCACAAATGGAATAGATAGTAATTGAGCTGTTTTTATTATTATGGTATCTTAACAAATGAGTATAAACACAGGATCCTAGGACCTGTGGTAAGAAAGACAGAGAAACATCTGGAGACCCTTTATACTTGAAAAAGGGCTCAGGACTAAGGAGAAGGACCTGTAGGTTTCTTGGCAGGTTTTCTAGGGCTTTATGCAGTTGGATAGGATATGGTACAGTAAAATTTGTCCATTTTTTGGTTATTTTTAGTTCTTTGTCATGCTAGGCCTGAATAACTGGGCAGTCAAACAGAATATTTTGTTGAGCATTAGCTGGACAAAGAAACATTTGTGTATTCTGTAATACCATAACTGGAAACATTACTTGGATCCTATGACTTATGGGTATTTCTATAACATTCGTTCATCCAACAGATATTAAGAATCTTCCCTATTGGGGCACTGTTCTACTAAACACTTAGGGCACATCACTGACCTGAAGAGACACTGGAGTTCATCTGCTTGAGGAAGAATTAAGGCATGTTTTCATTGTAGAAAATAATTAGATGTTTTTGTTTTATCATTTAGAAAGTCACACTAAGCAGTTAAGAGCAGATACCAGATTGTTAACATTTTGTAGAGTGCTTGCATGTCTTTATTATTTATATCTGTGTTCCTCTTTCCACTTCCTCTCAGTGGAATGACGTATTTGTATACTGTTATTCCTAATACATACCTGGAATGTTCCAATGTTCTGAGGTCTAGAGGTTTTTTATTTCCTTTTTGTCACCTCCAAATTGATTAATAGAAAATCTTTCAAAATCATTTGCTCAGCAGTTGCAGTTATGGATTAAATGTTTGTGATGTGGAGGAGGAAGTCATGCGGCAAGGGCTGGATCTTGGAGGCATCAGCAGCAAGTGTTTACCCAATTGCATTACTTGTAATTGGAAGGGAAGTAATGAAGTTGGAGTGAAACTCTGACTTTGTGTTTTACTCAGCTTACTATTTTTTTTTTTTTTTTTTGTGGAACCACGGATTGAACTCAGGCCCTGGCGCTTGCCAGGCAAGTGCTTATTTTGCTGAGCCATCTCCCCGGCCCTGAGTCATATCCCTGACCCAGCTTGCTTGCTATTAAACTGGGTGAGTTTGCATAAATAACTTCATCTCAGATCATTTCCTCATCTGTAAGTGAGGAGGTTAGAATTTTCCTATTTTAAAAATTCTGCTTTTAAGATTTCTTATAAAATACTGTACTAAGATTTCACTTTGGGAATATAGATAAAATAGACCTGATTATGAACTTATACTGAATAAACATCAAGTTAAATGTATTCTTTTGTTAATAAACCTAGATTTAAGAAGTTTACAAAATTAGTGTTATATTTGGTGTTATTTACTGATAAGACTTCTTTGTAATTTTTTTTTTTCATGTATTAGGGATTGAACCCACAGTCTTAGCATTGAGCAATGCTCCCCACCCTTTTTTTGTATTTGTTTTGGGACGAGATCTTGCTAAGTTGATAAATTGCCCTTGGTTGGCTCCTGTTTACAGTCCTCCAACCTCAGCCTTCCAGAGTGCTAGGGTTACAGACAAAATTTTTAAAAACAAAGGAAAATATAGCCTATTATGTAGTTTCTTTCTTTAACATTAGGTAGTAAAAAATAAAGCCATGGTATTTTAGGTGTAAGCCAAGAAATCAGAGTAGTTATTTGTACTTCAGTTTGCATCACAGTCTTTCATCTCTTACTTTGCTACCAGCTAGGTATACAAAACAGAAAATGTGTACTCTCTAACGTGAGGTTAAAGAATAATGGGAGTCGGGGCCATAGCTCAGTGGCATAAGCACCTACCTGCCTGGCAAGCTCAAGGTCCTGAATTTTTTTTTTTTTTTGCTGTACAGAGGATTGGACTCAGGACCCTGCACTTGTCAGGCAGGCGCTTATTCTGCTGAGCTTTCTCCCCAGCCCTTAAGGTCCTGAGTTTGAATCCCAGTACCAAAAACAAAGAATAATGGAAGTGACAAACAGTTTAAATTAGTTGTGTAATCCTGTAGTGGCACAGAGAAGGCATGTAATGATAGCCTATGAGAAAAGAGACCCTCTCATAGGGTCAGAGAGATAAAAATTGGAGGAATGTCGAATGAGTAAACTGAGCCACAGGTAACTGATGAGGTCACAATTTCATATTCAACTTTATTGTGAAAGCTGTTTATTTTGTTATGGAATTTCATGCAGGAAATAACACCATCAGGCATTGTTATATCTATCCCTGTAAAAAGAAGGTGAGCCGGGGAGATAGCTCAGTAGAATAAGTGCCTGCTGGGCAAGTACAGAGTCCTCAGTTCAATCCCTGGTACCACAAAAATAAATAAATAAATAAAATAATAAAAAAATAAAAAGAAGGTGGGATCCCCTCAGGAAGACATATTATTTCTATTTCAGTGAAGCAGACTTTTTTTGAGGAAAGCAGTCTTAACTTTAAAGCCTGAAGAACATTGTTAATTTTGTGGTTTTAGGGTTTTTCATTTATCATGCAACATTAAAACATTGAAATGTTCTTAGCCACACTAAGTTATGAAAGTAACTGAAATTTTAGAATATTTTGCTCATTGATATAAGAGAACTGGTCAGCTACAAAAATTTGATTTACAATAACTTCTAAGGTCTATGGCCATACCACCCTGAACATGCCCAATCTCGTCTGATCTCCGAAGCTCTGCAGGGTCGGGCCTGGTTAGGAAGATCTTGGATGGAAGAATAATTTCTAAGGAGTTAGAAATTTGGTGAAGTTTAAGTGATGCACGTAACTGTTGTCAGTTTTACTTTCAGATGATCAAGAAACTCAGTTATTGCCTGGCAAGTACAGGGGCCTGAGTTCAATCCCCGATTCTGCCAAAAAGAAAAAAAAAAGAAAAATGAAACTTAGTTAAACTTTACAGGGGGAATGGGTTTTCACTGGAAACAGTTTATAAATGAATAGACGAAAATTTGAAAAGTAGACCAGTATTTCTGAGTGAAGTTATTAGAAAGTATGACTTCAATTTTTAATGAGGTGTTTTCTAGCTAAGTAAAGTTTAATACTTTATCTAAATCACGTTTTTGTAATTTACATTTTTATAATTTACATTTGATTTTCAGAAAAGAAAGACTTCTAACTTATGCATTTGTCCAACGTAAACATTAATTGCCTTTTTTTTGAAGAAAAAAATTT